CTGAATGGACAGTGGTGGATTAGCCCCGGGCCAATGGGGTCCGTGCCATGGGTCCCAGCCAATTTGGGGGCCCTGGAAAAATGGGCACCCCACTCCCTGACCCCGCTCCTGCTGCCTGCCCAACGTTCCTGCCGGCGGGGGAGGGGGAGGGGCAGTGAGCAGGATCAGGGCATGGGGGCTTGCCCCGTTCCCACCCGGCAGAAGCACCAGGAGGTCGGAGCAAGCCCCCGGTCCTCAACCCCTCCTGGCAGGAGCACTGGAGGCGCGGGCGAAGGGACGGCAGGTGGAAGGAGTGGGGAGGGGCCCCCACTTGCTCTGGCTCAGGGCCCCAGAACATCCTAATCTGCCTCTGTGACAGGAGATGAGGAACAAAGTTTGGATCAAGAGCTCCCAGACATTTGGAACTGTTCAGAACTTGGTAGAAACTCCCAGATCCTACCGAGTGGGGACTCCAAGAGGACTTCTCCAGAGGAATCAGATTAATCTTCAGTATTTCCCAACACACCAAAGAGAGGATCTGGGGCTTGCAAGTACTCTGTAAGGAATTAAGTCCCCTCCTCAGGGAACTCCATGCACAAACTCCTCAGAAGTGATAACAGTCTGGAAGACTGATCAGACCCCCTCAAAGACTTGATCATTAGAATAATGCCTAGGATTATTTAAATGCAATTGATAAGGGACATAGTAAAAATAGTTTTAAGAAATTTGAAGTATATTTTGTACTGTTGTATGTATATCATTTAAATTTTAACTTTTCATTATAAAGAAAGAAAGATGTGGAGTGATTATGGAGTTCCTGGTTTTCCACAGTCACCAGCAAGGAACAGGATGGATTGAAGCAGCCATCTTACTAAATGGGAGAACTTCCTGGTTAGGGAGTTCTCTAGTTGCTGCTTAAAGTATGGTCTCTGTGTTTATGTCTTTACCAGAGGCAGATTAAGGGTTTGTGTCCTGGGCGAAAGCAAGGGCCCCCCAACTTTCTGCCTGCAATTCCCCTGGCCACTCCCACCCCCAGGTGTTCCTGCCGGGAAGCAGGGGTGCCTATTTGGGGGGCGGGGGGCAATTGGCCAGGGCTCCTGGGCACGGGCCCTGCAGCTAATCCATCACTGGTCTTCACACCATAGCACACAATCTGAAAAATGCCAGCACCTTGTGGGTTAACTCTGTGCATTGCACTTGGCCTCTTCAACAAAAAGCGTTAATTGGGAAAGTCGCAAATTTTAATAATTTTGAAAAAAAACCCTATTATAATGACCCCTCATCATTCCTGCAATTTGTGGAGTTGAGTTTTCTGAGAAACAGATTTACTGCATTTATTCATAATGAATAAAAACCTCAGTATTTTTTTGCAGGTAGTAGGCAAGACAACATTTTTCCCTATTCCATTTTAATGTATTGTCTTTTGCAAAAATTTTAAGGCATAAATATATATTAAGCCAGATCCTCAGCTGGTATAAATTGCTGTACGTTACTGACTTCAATGAAGCTACATCCCCTTTTTCTCATGAAATCTATCTAATCTGTATGAAAAACTACAACACTATGGATTTGAACTCAATATGACAGATATGTGTAGCTGGTAGGAAAAACAGATTTTGTGTAATAACCATGGGAATTTATGGATCTTGTCCACATTATCTCCTGCATCGAAATCCACTGAGCACAGAAGAGAAAGAGAGAACACTTCATTTTGTTTTGATTTTTTCTTGTGCTGCTCTGACTTATGCCAGCTGGCAGCAGTCCCTAAAGGACCGTACATCAGCTGAAAATTGGCAGAAGACAGTTCCATTCTAATTCCACTCTGAAGAAGACCCCAATACCCCTTCCCTCCATGACATATCCCCTAAAGCAGGGTGGGATGAATTGTTAACATGAGACACGTTATAAGCCAGCTTTACGCCAAGAGAGAGCTCCCACTTCCTGGTTTAGCCAGGTCCGAGTGCGGTGGAAAGAGGCCAGAACAGAGGAGGGAATCTAGCCCACTGCTTTGGCCGCCATATGGAACACATTTTGTTCTACGAGTGCCATTGCAAAAAACAAAAAGACATGTAATAAAAATGGAATATTGCCTAGAGTTCAAACAAAGTGCATTCCGCAGTGCAATCCATGTGTATGAAACAGATGTATTTTTACTGTGTGTTTTGCTTCTTCAACAAAAGACTGGGGAAGAAAAAAAAATGTACATTTTCGTTATAAAATAAGACACTCATTAAAATGATTTCCCAAAAGTGATGTTAGAATGAGCATGAGTCTGAACAAAAATAAAAAATGGTCAGCCTTGCTATTGCCAGGATAGTGCCTGTATTCTCCATCAAGTTCAGGCCTGAAGAGATAGTGTTCTGCTTTTTTAACTTCATTTCAAGTAACTCCCAGTACAACAGAATCCTGTTTACAGCCTAGCACTGAGACACAAAAGACATTATAATACTAAGCCTGTGTAATTTGTTGTTCTGTCTGGGGGCTCTCCTACATTAATACCTTTAAAAGTGACAGCATGTCATTAGCAGAATGGCTTGCTCCTTCTCTGTCCAGATAAAATGCCTTTTTTTTTAAATAAATGGCTACAATATACTAGATGGATTATTTCTCTTTAAAGCAAACAGAGCAGATTGCAAAATTGTTTCCGTCTTCTTACCAACTGATAACTTGATTCGATAAACAGGAAGTGAGAACTCAGCAAAAAAAAAATTTTTTTTTTACTGTTCTGCTTACTTTGAGTTATTAAACTAATGTGAACCGGCTGGCAAATAATGGGATGTGGTAAATTTAGCTACGTTGACAACTTTATAGGAAATAAGATGGAGAAAGAACTTTTTACCACTAACTCTTCCAAACCAAGAGTCTCAAATGTCACATTAAAATGGGAATTAAGTCAGTAAGTAAATCAGATTAAACATTTTTCCATAGGCAACAGAAATCCTAATTGCATATTTTTATTATTCAAAACAATGCTACGATGATATTTATAACTCATGGCACAGGCTAATCACTAATGAAAAGGCTCAGGAACCTTATATGATGAAGTCAAAGGGGAATTTTGGTTTGCACAAAACAATCAAAAAATAGGCCAAAATGCAAGCATTTTTAAAATTATTATTTTTAAACAAAAGGCAGGACAGGCTCTTTGGGGCTTGTTTTCACCTCCTAAATTCTGCTGAATTTGTATTTGCATTTGCTGCATAGTGTGAAGTCGAGGTAGAGTGACTCCCCCAGGCGTAGTTTGCAGAAGTAGCATCTGCAGCATGTTCCCCCTCCCTGTGTCCTGAACATAAGAACATGAGAATGGCCATCCTGGGTCAAACCAAAGGTCGATCCCTTCCAGTATCCAGTCTACCAACAGTGGCCAATACCAGGTGCCCAGAGGGAGTGAACCTAACAGATAATGATCAGTGATCTCTCTCCTGCCATCCATCTCCATCCTCTGACACCATTCCTTACCCACTATGCTAACTCCACAGAACTGAGGCTTTAGAGAATCTTATTGGGGTGTCAGGCTGGGGAAAGAGGGGAGGCTGGTCCCCTGACAAGGCTGCAGTTATCAGTGTGCAATTTATGCTGCTCCATTCTCATAATAGCTGTTATTCAGCTCCAGAGCGAGTGATGAACATGCTGAAACCTAGGCTGCTCATTGCATCTGAGCACAGCTGGATGTCAGGCAAAAGGTGGCACTTCAAGCACTAGAGACACATGCCACTGTGATACTTAAGGAAAACTCTCCATGCTGCCAGATTGCTCCTAGTTTCTAGGTTGACTCTGACATGGTTGCAAGCTAAGGGGAAGAGCTGGTCCACTGCAGGACCTAAGGAGGAATATCTCCACCCCAACAGTAAAGCAGGCAAGTTGTTATACTAAAAAACAAATATGGGGACCCCTTGAGTTGCTTGGGGCCCCAAGCAATTGTTTAGTCTGCTAATGTCTAGTGCCAATTCTTCTAAGGGGGACTGTTGTGGCTATGCATAGCCACCTGCCAAAGGCAATTATCTCAAGAGGCAATAGTCTTTCAGGAAAATGCCTGAAGACTCAGTAAAGTCTGAATAAGTCTGAGGTCCCAGTATTTTCCTGTACCCACCCAGGTTTGCTATCACAACCTTCAATCAGCCTAATTTTTCCTGAGGGAGGCATTAACCAAACATACACATATTCTAATTCAGGAAGGAATTTAAGTATGTGGAAAACTTTAAATTTGTGATTAATCCCCCTGACTTCTATGCATGGGGACCTATATTATTGAGATAAAGACAACTCCTGAGTTTAAATAATTTCCATTATAACACATAGGTAAGTGAGTTACAAGGCAACCCACATGAAGGAACTTGGAAGTCATACAAGAATGGAGTGTAATCAGAAAAGTGAAGTTTAAGAAGTTTCTCATATGGTTAGAACCTTGGTATGCACATGTCCTATCTCTCATTACAACATGACAAATGTGCTGTTATGAAAAGTGCTTGTTGGGTTTTTGCATCATTCTCTTTCTTAGAGAGTTAGAAAAAAGGAAGTGTGGGGGGGAGGGAGCATAAAATTTAGATTTTAATATTAACATTACATTTGAAATTTTTGATTCCAAGTAGAGCTGCTTAAGTAATGAAAACACTGATTTGTAAGTAATTTCTTCAATGTCTGATGGGGGGGAAATGTTTTACGTCCATCACTCACTAATATGATTTGACCAGATCTTCTCAAGATAAAGTCAATATTTGTGGGGGCTGGAGTGGTCATACCAGAGAACTCAGGCAATTGTTTTGTTCACACACAGCCTCCTGACTGCAGCGGAGCTGTGAACTATAATTCTTTTCTGTTTCATAGCAATTGGACATCTAATTCACCTTATTTCCTTTTTCTGTCTGTCCTCCTTCCTGTTCCTCCCTTGTCATCCTAAAATCAGAATAAGTGTCCATATCACACTATAAATAGGGACAGATTCTCCTTTCACGCTGGCATAAGTTAATAAAGCAAGAACTCATTTTATAACACACAAGGATAATGGCAGACAATCCTTTTACCTTTTGAAGCATTGCATTGCCTTGGTGAGCATTAACGTTGTGTTGGTTGATTTCCCTTTTGTACTGATATTCATATATTTGGTTTGTTATATTAACAAGTACAGTGGGTGGGCCAAACTTCAGCTTCTCACAAGTATAGACAGTTCCACTTTCAAAGTTGGTTGGTGTTGTTGCATATTGTATAATTAATCCCATTACGAGACCTGCAGATTAGAAACATAAGAGGTTAAAATACTGTGAGTGTCTGATACAGCATTGGTTGTAGACATGGAGAAGAAAAGTATGGTGGTGCCCCTTCACCAACAGTACCATCGAGGTGCACTCCAGGCAGTATTGTGTGGATGAATATGGAACACTGAAGGACGTGGCAATTTCTGGATGAGTACAGGGGTGGACATGAGGGTTTTACATGCACCTGGAACAGATCATACTTCTGTGATCCAGGTATTGAGGTCATTCTGATGTTTTTACTAACCATGTTACTCAGCTACTGCATGCCTAATAAGGTATGTGTGGTAAGTATGTATTTAAAGCGGGAGGATGCTTTTGTGGCTAGAACACTGTACTGGAAGTCAAGAGATAATGTTCTTTTCTCAGCATCTCTGAAGATTTCCTGTGTTAAAGTTACGCTGGGCAAGTCGTTACTCACTCTGTCCCAGGACACATTCTGCATATTGTAACGAGCTATGCAGTTACGGTGCTATATAAATAATAAACAATAAAAATGGAAAGAATGATGCTGTTGTGGTTAAGACACAGAGACTTGGATTTAGTTCCTGACTATATAGGCTATGTCTATACTGCAGCTGCAGCTTTATACTGCAGTTTGCATAAATATGCCAGTGCTATCTGTACTCTAGCTACCTTGCTAAAAATAGCAGTGAAGACACGGCAGCACAGGCTTCAATATGGGCTGCACAAGCAAGCACATGCTTCGGGGAGTCAGGCGGACTTGTGCAACCCGTGCTGCCATGTCTCACTACTATTTCTTAGCGAGCTAGCTAGATTAGACATGCCACCTGAGATTTAAACAAGCTGCAAATCACACCCCCAGCTGCAGCATAGCTATGCTGCTGACTTCCTGTGAGATTTTAGGCAAGTCACCAACAGTGTCCGCAGATGGAGAAAATAATACTTCCCAATTTGCCATGGGTGCTGTGAGGATTGTTGATAAATCAATGGGTTCATTTTATTTATTGAAAAGATGTCAGATAACTTCGCTCAATTGGTTTATTGAGCATAGAGAAATCAGCACAGACAGAAAAGGGTTAATACTTTATATGATCCTGGGAAGTAGTTGTTGCAGCAGTTTTCAGCATGTCTGTGTCAAAGTTTGTGCTTAATTCAGCTCATATTTAGGAAGTGTCTACACTTAAACTGCTACATCAGTGCAGCTGTGCCACTGTAGTGCTTCAGTATAGCCACTCACTACAGCAATAGGAGGGGCTCTTCCATCACTGTAGTTAATCTCCCCCCTCCCAAGAGGTGGTAGGTAGTTCAATGGCAGAATATTTCTGTCGACCCAGGGCTGTCTACACTGGGGGTTAGCTTGGCTTAACTACGTTGCACCCCTGAGTGCCGTAACTGGTCAGCTTAACTTTCTAGTGTAGACCTGGCCTTATATGTCCCTTATTTATGACAGCAAAAAGACTAATGCCTCTCACTCCTTTTTCCTTATCTGTTTTTTGTCAGGTTATAAGACATCTGTGCCAACTACAAACAATATTATTCCAAATGAGTACAAATAATATTAGGCCATGAAAACCTACCATAAGTGTTCCCAGCACACAGTTCCTACTAGATGAAGCTTATCCATCATGCTTTTGACCAATCAATGGCACATACATCTTGCTTTTGGCAAATAAACAGTACAAGGCACAAAACCCACAATTTAACTACTAATAAAACCTAAAAGTACACAATAAAACCTAATCTTGAGTATAAAATATTCAAAGATACACCTTTAGCAAAGTACAAAAGTATGCTGGCAATTTTTGGTTCTTAGCTTAGCATAAGCCTTCTGGTTCATTCTATAATATTGACTAATAGTATAGTATAGTATAAATACTTGGGAAATGTTCAGATACAATGATGATGGAGGCCATTAAGTATCTAGATTTTTTTTAGAGCCCTTTGAAAAATATGAACGAAATTTAACTATAGAAAGTAACCCAGAGGAGTCAGAAAATTTAGAGTTAATACTGAAGTTTCATTCAGTAACCAGATACTATGCTGATGAGAGTGGTATAAATGGCTAGACAGAGAGATGGAACAATCTTGTTGTTGGCCAGTTTTGCAGAGGTCTCTGAACAGTGGTTGCCTCTAGCATATTATATCAGATGTAATATTTTAGCTTCATGGAGTAAGGCAAAGATGGTGTAATAGCAAGAATGCTGACTATACTGTTAAGGAGGGATGTTTTCTTTAAATCCCTCAGGATTCACATCACCAGCTAAGAGTCCAAAGGTTGCTTCCTGAGGTCATATGAAATGTGCATAATAAATCAGATAATAAATCTAGCTGTAGTAAGAGGTAGCATACAGACTTCCTGAAAATTCTTGGGGGAGGGAAGCAGGCACTAAATGTTCCAATGCAAAATATTAATACCATGATGGCCAACCCCAAGAGTTCAAAAGTCAGACCTCAGGAAGCCATGAGAATTAACTGGTTAAAAGAGTTTGGGGTTTTCAGTCTGACTTCAGATTATTTAACCTTTAGGGGGAACTGCCTATCTCACAAGGTATTATTATAGGTTGAAAATTCAACCTTAAACGCACTCAAAATGCACATGCAAAAATGTGGACCTTCCCATTCCATGCTTGGAAGGATGCCACTCACCCTCTCTCAGACCCTTGAATGGGAGTACTATCTTCCTTTCCTCCCCAGCTCTCTTTCCCTGTCTGAAACTCTCAGATCCTTCTCTCAATCTCAAGACTCTGTCTGCCATCAGTCTCAGCCCTTCTACTGCTCCCCTGCCTGTGCATTCTCCTTCCCTTCCCCTTCAGTCTTCTGCCATGACACATTCTCCCTTCCTTTCCACCCACCGAAGTCTACCTCTATGGTCCTCATTTCCTGTCCCCATAGTGGGCTTGCCTGCTCCCTCATCCTCCTCTCCTACCACTCTAAATTCTGCTGTCCTCCCATATTCACCTGCTCCCTCACTGTCCTTCAATATTAATTTACGCCATACAATGTTCTTGCTTCGCTTCAAAATTCCCTTGCCCCCTTATTAACCCATACCCCACTGTCCTGCTCTGCTCCCCACCCTTCCATATGTAAACGTGGGAATAGTCCCGCTATTGTGGGGAACTTTCCTGACTTCTGCACTACCCCGGTGAAGTGGGCTAGCAAAAGGATCTGAGTCCTCACTCCCACTTCCTTTACCCAGTGGCCTCCCTGCTCTTGAGGACTCCCCTTCCACTCTCCTGTCTGGCAGAGTCCTCGTAACCCCAACAAGGCTGGGCCCGGGATTCCTGGGAGGCTCAACCCCCAACCCTGCTGTGGTCACCTAGGACAGGGGCTAGGGTGTCCCCACTCCAGGGTACTCTCTCTGCCCTGGGCACTTCTCTGACCCACTGACCATTACATACAAGTTAAAGCAAACGCAAGTTATTTAATCAACAATTAATTTTAAAAAGAATAAGGAAAAATGGGAAAGGTTAAAGGGAACACATCAACCCGCTCTGTGGCAGGGAACATCACAAACAGTGTCTCTGGAATGTCAGGGCAGTTCACAGTCTGTTCCTTGTAAGTCCCAGGCCTCCTTCTCAGGCCCTGGCTGTGCTGCAGGGATGCTGTGGGTTGGACACTTGCTCTGGTGGTGGCCACACGCTCTCAGGCTCTAAGTGGTAGGACCCTTCTTCTCAGTGTTGCCCCCGCCCTGTCGGGGTTATGATCCAAGCCTGGCCTGCAGAGCCTCTTGGCTGAGGCGTCTCCCCATGCTGGGCCCGCTGCCCAGGGTCCCCCTTGGTCTCCCCAGCTGCTCACTGCACCCAGCTCCGGACTGCTCCAGCCCCAGCTCCACCACTCTGTCTCAGCACTGCTGCTGCTGCTCTGCCTCCAGCTCCCTGGGCTGTTTCTTTGGCCCCTCTGCCTCTGGTTGCTACAGCTCTGCTCCCAGGACAGGTCTGCTCTGCGGGCTGCTTCTGTGACTCTGCTCCCAGCACTGACCTGCTTCCTGGGCTGCTTTTCTAGCCCCTCTGGCTCTGGTTGCTGCAACTCTGCTCCCAGGGCAAATCTGCTCTCTCTGGGCTGTGCCTCTGGCTTTGGGGCTGCAGCTCTGCTCCCAGGACAGGGTCTGCTCTCTCTGGGCTGCTTTTCTGCTCCCTCTGGATCTGGCACAGCTCTGCTTCCCAGCTCAGCTCGGCCCCTGCTTTCTCCTTAGCTCAGCCCCACTCTGACCCAGGCAATTCCAGCTCACACCGAGGATGGGACCTCCCTGGCCTCCTGACTCCCTGATTAGCCTGCTCGCCCTGTCGTTCAGGCTGACCTAGAGCATTGGCCTCTCCCCATTGTTCCTGGGGACTGTCAGTCTCAGGGACCTGATTCACCATCGACCCTTCCCCCTTTTTAGTACTGGTACCTAGCAACTAAAACACCCCCACTGAATGTTAGTAAGGGGGCAACAGTCCCCTTACACGTATCTGCCCCGTCTCCCCACACTATTTTTCCCTGCTTTCTGACAGCATGTAGGGCAGCCATCTTCCTTGAGTCAACCAGGACTCTCTCCTACTGAAACAATGAGAGACGGTGACCATCTTTACTAGGAGCTCTCTCACCATCACCTGCAAAGGTAGTGGGGAAATGACAGCCATTTTAATTGAGGGGATCGGCCTGTGGCTCTCAGATGACCGTCATGTTTTGCCTACATAGCCTCTGTGCTACCATTGAATAGATCCCTGTTTCATAAAACACTTTGAGAAACCTAGTATATGCTCTTTACATAAAACCAAGTTCTGGTTACTGTTTTAAATATATGGGGACTGTCAGGGAAGTCCGGGATCAGACTACCTGCAACAGGCACCTGTAAGGGAGAATGAGCCAACTCAGATCCACCTAGAAGTAATTGAATCCCTAGTCAGTTAGTTAGTTGTGTTACTAGGCCTTAAGTGGGGGGGATCCTAGAGACAGGAAGCTCCTGAGGAGAGGAGCTCCCAGGACAGCTCACCAGAAGAAGGAGCCTGGGAAGTGTGCTCCTAAGGAC